CCATAATGCACTACAGGGGAGCAAGCAAAACCACAAACCCAGCAATGCAGCAGCTCTGTTAAATTCCAATATTTGTGAAGCTCAGTTGTCAGTTTTTTAGATTGAGAGTTGATTAATGCTTTACCTTCATTCTTTGAAGTACAAGGTTGGTTATTTATTTTAGAGTCAGTACATAGTGTGATTTATCAGAAATTCAGTGGTTATCAAGTTAATTGATTTAGCTCTGTGTAACTTCCCAATGGTTGCCAGATGCTAAATGGAAAATGAGTTATGATTTATATTAGCAGGTCCCTTAACTGCCAGGGCATCCATTCCTGCAGAAGTAAACATTTCAAAATGTAAAAATGTGATTCATACAAAGGGAGGNNNNGGGGGGGGGGGGGAGCTTTATCATGAAGGAACAAATAGTCACAAGGAGACCATCAGCACTGATGGATGCCAACAATAAATGGCGCAATAGTACTTCAAATGATGGCTTAAGAATGACAGTAAATCAACGCCTGTGAGCGTTTCAGGGGAAAATATTTTAGATTGGCGTTTATGGCAGGGCTAGTTTGTATTGCTGGGTGGTTTTACGTTTTGTCCATCCTTTCTATTCTTAAAAAAAAAACCTGATTGTTTGTGCAGAGATGTAGACAGNTGTGGATAATTAAAAAAAAAAAAATACAAATAAAGGCAGTGCAAGAAATGCGCATTTCCTCTGCCCATATCACTTACTGCTTTGTATTTGTTTTTGTTGTCTGTAGCCCATCCATATCAGCCTTAAAACCCACTCAGCTGGCATGACAGGTCAGTTAAACCCAGTAAGTACCTGATCTTTATTATAGTGTGGGTCTGTCCTGTACAACTGGATGCTAGGCTTTGTGTTTCATGATGTGTTTTAGTTAGAGTATGTCATTAAAATGTATAAGATGATTGAAGACTCCTACAGAAGGTGCTGTTTTAAAGAGATAAGTTATTACATTGATATTGGATAGTTTATTTTAAAGGTACAAGAGCTTGGGCGTTGAAATGTAAATGTTGAATTTTAACGTTTTTATCCTTTTTTTTTTTTGTATGAACTGGACTAACATGGTAGGCATTAAAGGCATCGGTCCTTCAGGTTAAAGGGTCAGCTCACCCAAATAAGAAAGAAAATGATCACTTTTCTCTAGTGGTTCCCAACCTTTTTTAGTTTGTGATCCCCTTAAATGAGTATTCCACTTCCACAGACAGAAGACAAAGATATACTGACTTTAAATTACTCAAGTTCCCTGAACTGTTTTCAGAGGTTTAGTGCTGGTTGATGAGCAACTGATCCTCGTGTAAAATCTGTACAGTGCCCCCTTTTTTTAAAATAAAGCACTTGTGACAACATGTCACAGATTACGACCTTGATGTAAACATGAACTGTGAGTGGTTCCTTCTCCAATTATTTCACTGAAGGATTTTTGTAGACCTTAAGAAGTGAAAGTGGGTCTTTATTAAACCTTCAATAGTCTTGTGACCCTTAAGATTCTCTATGGGAGCCCGACCCCAGGTTGGGAACCACTGATCTAGCAGATGGTTTTGGTTTTATTAACCAAGGTTTTAAGATTCACTCTTTACCCCCAAATCAAACTTATGTGAATAGAATCTCATTTTTGGTGATCACAGAAACTATTACTGACCACAGTTAACACTTTTTATAGGGACTATAAAGGTAATGTTGCAGTTGAATTAAACGTACTGGGGCATAAACCAGTATCTCAAAATCTGGACACATAAAGCCGTCAGTATGGATTTGGGTGAACTGACTGACTTTGGGTGAAGTGAAAGCTCAGAATGTATATACTAAATTATCCATTATGCAGGATAGCTCTTATATGTAAGGAAAATGTTTCTTTTAAACTAGTGAGTTCAAATGTTACATTTTAGATAAATTTAGTCTCGACAAACTGTCATGAAAAGTTAAAATTCCATGTTTCCAACTCATTTTTGGATGAGGTGTATTTGTATTTGGATGAATACAAGCTGTCCTATAAAGAACAATTGTCCATAAAGTAACTTGATCTTTTAATGAAAATGTGACACATCACAATGTCAAATTCATGTTTTTGCTTTTCAATAAAAAAATATTTTACTGCCACTTGTTTGTCTTCAGTTACTAGATTGGGGTGAAATTTAATGTTCTAAGTGTCAGTCCACCTCCTACTGACACATGGCAGATATGGACTCTTTAAATAGATTCACTTTAGACTCATTACTCCCCATGATGTGAATAGTATATACTGTAATATGACAGGGTACCAAAAATAAAAGAGTATGAATGCTAATTAAAGCTGCAATCAATAGTTCAGATAAATTAAATAATGAAACTTGTTTTTAATTGAAACTTTCTACAGCATAAGTAAGTACAGCCATCCGATGCTTTGAGTAAAAACTAATGAACTGGAAACTTCCGCTGGTTAATTGCTTGTTTACAATTCTAGGAATGAATTAGTCACACTTTTTTTTTTTTTGTGGTTAGAAGTATGAATGAGGGCAGACATGCTCTTTTAAAATGCACACAGTTTGAGACCAACTAATGTTAAAGCTTTATTAATGTACTTGCAGGCAAACAAAAGTTTAGCTGATCAATAAAAGTAATTAAATGCATTTATAAAGACCCTTGAGCTGCAGTCTCAAACTGCAGTAGCAGTAGACAAAAGCTGTCTGTTTTAGAGGCGCTTATTGTGGTTTCCTGCTGGACCAAAAGAGCAACGGGTCTTCTGAGCTGATGGGGGGACTGCTGGAGACCTGGAGATCTTTTACACTGATACTCTGAACATACATAACACCACAGTGGAAACCACCGATTACAATACGATAACATCTCCTATTATTAGAAGCAAGCTTTAGCTCTTTGTATGTTTTTATAGAGAAATTAACACTTTGCACCTCACGTGCACAGCATAAATTTACTATCTTCTTTCTGTTCCTCATTCCGTATTCAAATTGTGTTACAGCCTTGCAGAGGTCAATGAATTCTTAATTTGTTTTATCATTTACAACTCTTTCTCGTGTCTAAACTGCAGTTCAGTGCGTGAAGAGTGCGAATGAGGTTAAAGTACGCGGAACTCCCCACTAGGCAGAAATGAAGAAGCCTTTTGAAAGCACCCCGAACAAACTTACACATTTATCTAAATTGTATTGCAGTATGGGGACAGATACAGATCTCTTAAAACTATCAACATGACTGTTAAAGATACACCCTTGGAGATAAGTGAGAGCTGTTTGACCACTTCATTGTTTTGTAAGTCACAAATATGACTCTGTCTTTGCACTGCCACCCAAGTCCTAAAATGTAATGCCATTTTTACAAGATAATATTAAATTTACACCGATCATAAATGGTTTTTAAAAATGTGTATTTATTATTTACTATAATAGCATATAGCACCATTTTTTCCCACTTTTAAAATACAGTTTTTAAACTTTGGGCTTGGGCAAAGGTAGTAACTATTTTCAAGTCAAAAGGCTCAAGTCCAAGTGAAGTCAGGAGTCGATGTTACAGTCCAAGGTGAGGTGCAAGTCTTTTTTGATTTTTTGCAAAAGTCATATGACTGGCGTACACTCCTTTGGGAAATAGTACACATACTTTAAGCTGCAACAAGGAACTTTAATTATTTTGGTAATTGTAGCGGCCTCTGAAAAGCCGTGGTGTTTTCACCAAATCGCTTTATTGATTTCAAGGGGAATTCAACCCGATAGCAGGCATTTAGCATAATATAGAAAAAGCCAATCTTCTCACTGATGGTCTGGCATACTTATGAAAGTCATATAGAGACACCACTATCAAATTGAGACTGTTTCATAACCAGTTAGAAACTCCCTGTAGTAGTTTTACAAATCGAAAAAAAAGTATTCATTTAGAAACTTTCAAACACGGTTTAAATTGATTGAACTCTTTGCCACTCAGAAATGAAGAAGCCTCTTGGACGAGCGGCTTCAAGAACAAAACCATAAATCCAGCTGCTTTTCACTTTTTCTAGATGTCCAGTAACCACAGTTGTTTGTACATTGAAAAGGTTAATCGTAATTGTTCCATACTGTCTGTGAAAAGTTTAATATCTTCAATATGTTTTTTTTCTTCTTTCAATAGACCTAATTATCAAAGATTGAGGCTGTACAAGGCCCACATGATGGTGTTGTATTTTGTATTATTTTATTCAAAGTCAAAATTGAAAATGTACGACTCAAATGTTTTTGTTGTTTGGCCGGTCAAGCCTGGAGCTGCATATTTATCGATTAAAGCTGCAGTAGGTAACTTTTATGAAAAATAACTTTTTATCATATTTGCTGAAATTTTCACTATATCTACAGGGCCTGGACGTAAATATAAAGACGCTTTGGGTTGGAGGCTTGAAGATATTTGATTGTTGTTGTATCTCATCCCAGGGTCTTTGTATTTACCACCCTGGGTATGAGACTTAACAATCAACCGTCTTTCTTGGCTCCGGTGGATTCTTGCAAATGTCATTAGAAGCGCGAGAACGAGCCGGAGGAACCCGTTTTTTTATATAGATTATCTGTCTCATGTACT